CCTGGAGTTTTACTACTTTGTCTTAAGTCGTCAGCAGCAAATTTGAACCTGGCCAGGTTGCCTGCCTTGTGTGATGGCTTGGTTCGTGCCTCGAGCACCCAGACTCAAATACTTTTTGCAGGATGGATCAGATCTCGGGGATTACTCTCAGGCATGGGCCATTGGTGTGACCATTTAATTTGGACGTTTCTGAACCAAGTAGACCAACACATACTCAAGGTAGATGTCATTACAGTTCTGCCTGTCCCCAAAGCAATCGTGTTTATCTGATTTCGGCTTGCTGACTGGCCTTGACAGGCTACCTTATCTTAATTCGCCTGGAAGTTTTGTCAACCTTTGATGCTCTGCCCCTCCCCCACTCCCACCGACGAAGTCTACAGACCAATCAGTGGGGCCCAGACTCTTTGGATTCTATTTGACGTCGTCCTTGGCCGTCCTCGGCACCCTCCGGGAGTGTACGGATCTCTCCAGAGAGAACTATGTGAACTGAGCGATTTTATCTGAATTCTGCAGTGCCTCTACGTTTTGTCTCTGGACATGCTCACCGCCCTTGCACCACCCCCATCCCCCCCACTTCATTTGTTTTTAACATCTTAGAGTAAACCGTGATAAGAGCCTCCTTTCAAGGTTTGAGCAGTGGGTGTAGAGCAATGTGAATGCTTTTGGTGTACACTTTGGCATTGTTACAGTGCCACACACAGGCCTGGTGTAGTTACTGCAATGTTTAGGTTTTGCATGTTTCTGCATAGATGAAAATATTTTGAGGGACACTGCAGCGTTTATCAGTTTTTTTAACCATTCCAAATAAATTAAAAATAAATTTAAAAAAACAAACTTGTCTTTAATTTTGATGGGGGGAAAATACGTTTATTGATGTTAAAGACTGAGTCGGCCAAAGAAAGTATCAGATGAGCAGTAAGCATTAAATGTGGGGCATTTACGATACGCTTCTAAAATCATATTCGTAATTTACAAATTTAAATAAATGTTTTGGCTCATTGTAGCTACGGCCCACATGAATCTGAAAAGCCAACCTTCTTTTTATCTTAGTCCACATTTCCGAGGAAATAAGTAAGATATCCCAACAATATCACTGGATCACATGATGTGTAAGATTTGTGTTTTCTGTTTTAACTTTATTTTGTTGTGTTTTGGTTGTTCCTTGCCCCACCTGTGTTCTCTTTGGGCCTGCCAGCATCCTTTTCCCTCAGTCAGCCTGCCACACCGATCACACACGTTCCCTGGTTTATCAGTCACAGCTGCAGCCACTCTACTCATCAGCTCGTCCTTATATTCTCTCAGCCTCCATCCATTGAGCACTGTGTCATGCTTACGTTTGGTTACCATATGTTTTCACCTTGTATGACTTCCTGTAAGTTATTTGTTGCCACGTCAGCCCATTCATTTTTCTTTAATAAGTGATTTTAAGTTTACTCGAACTCCTCGTGTGTGTGCTGTCTGAACTCGTGGGTCCAACCTTTGGTGAACTGTGATGAGATGTCATGTTTGACCATTGAACTGCCTCCTAGATGTCATTATCACTGCACTATTTCTTGATGAAAAACTTTATACATAATAAAGTTGTCTAAAATTGGAGTTGTCCTTTAGTTAAAAAATAAAACATTTTAATTTAATAATTTGTATGATCTTGATAGACTTTGGCTCTGCCCAAAAGAAGAAAAAAAAAGGTAATAATCCCTCAATTTAACATAGGCCAAGTAAGATTTGTCTGCGTATCATGAGTAGAGCAACACGTCTGGGAGCTTGATCATTTTGGGGGAAACAATCCCAAGCTGTGACTGGTAGGGAATAAAACTTTGAATTGTGATGTTTGCTTAGAAAGCCGATTGAATGACTAAAACTCAATGTGGGACATGAGGTGAACTTGACATCTGACTTATTGAGTCGTGATTATAAGATACAACATAAGTTGTAATAATTTTTGTATTTTAAAGCTCACATTTATATTTAAAATCACGACATTAAGTCGTTATTATGATGTTAATTACAGAATGTCACTATTAACTTTAACTCGAGATTTAGATATTTAGTGCCATTATCATGACATCCAGTCATACGTATGAGTTTTAAAGTCATTGAGTTTATATTATGACGCATGTCATCATTGTTGTCAATAGTATCTCATAATAATGTCTATTTATTTTAGTCATAATTACAATTTAATTACATTAGGTAAGTTGGTAACTCTTGTCCCCAGGTGTGTGAGTGGTTTGTTTGTCCCCATGTGTCCCTGGGATGGACTGGAAACCAGGTGTCCCCCGCCTCTCGCACGGTGACTGCTGGACATGGGAACCAGTGACCGCGAACCGAAAAGGAAGAAGTGGGTAGAAGATACTGGATGGACATATCAAATATGACTTAACCCTGGAATGCTTAAATTATTATTATTATTATTATATTAGTAACAGAAATGTGTTTCATTGAGTGAAAATAATGCATGGGGTGTGTCCGAATTGTGCTACCCGTGTAAAACACATGCACAAAACTAAAAAACCAGGAGCAAGTTGAGGTATTAATCATAGTTTATTGTACATGAGACAGGGTTTGCTTTTAACCACAGAGGCTGGTGGGAACTAATACTTGCAGGGAGTTAAACATCAGGTTTGACACCAGAGTAGAAAGTCACTAAATACTCCATTTTGAGCATTTACATAAAATAAAATACTACATTATAAATCCCTCAAATAAGTTTTTATTAAAATGCTGGACAGTTAGATGGATAAATGTTATAACCAACCATATTTTTCGCTGTACAAGTTGCAACTTTTTGCATAAATTGGCATGCCCTGTGACTTATACAGCGAAGCGGCTTATATTTATAACCCAATTTTTGGCTGAGATCTGACGATTTCATTCATTCGGACATGGAAAATATTTAACACTACCATTTTTAGCCACTAGAGGGCGGTCAGTAATATGGCAAGCCAAGTGTCTCATTAATAGGTGCATGCTCATGGATTTTTGGCACAACACTGGCCCACGTTTCCGAGTGGTCAGCGGTGACGCATAACAAACGTGATACGCCAGCGATGATTCATAATAGATGTAACTTAAACAGCGAAGTGACGTATTTATGTTTTTTCCCACTTTATTAGACATATTTGAACTGATGCGACTATACGCGGGGCAACATGTACGGCGGCAAGTACGATATATAGTCAGGAATATGCTTCCAGTTGAGTAATTTCAAAACTTACTTAAAATGTTATTAGTGTAATTGTGATTTATACATATTTATCATCTTAATGCGCTTTGAAAGTAGAAGGTGATAAAACAAACAAGCTAAACAGTATCCCATATGTGATGACCAGCAGCAGCACAACAGTTAAGTGTAGGGGTGCTTCGATTTGATCGAATCAACTAAAAGTGCAAAACTTTTCTTGATCCACATTGTAGAATTAACTTTTAACATATGTAACCAACCACAGTATTCAATTAAAATAAACGTTTTCCAAACAGAGGATTACAATAACTACTAGAAAAATTATTTTGTGTTTTGTATTGATTGGCTTTTTTTTTTTCTTTTTTTTTTACGTAATCTGGTCTAAATCTAAATTAATGAGTTGGTAGCCAAAACGTAGTCTGAAATTAAATGCTTTTAATTTATAGTGAATAAATTGATTTATTAACCGTTTGAGGCAGAAGGTGGTTCCTCAGTCTATAAGACCAAAGATCAAGCTGTTAAAGTCTGTTTTGTTTTTATTTTAGCGTTTAAAATCATCACATAATTTAGCAAACGCTGTTAAACCTTGCTTTAAAGAAAGAGAAATAAAGATAATTATTGGCCTATTAAAACAAACAAAAAATATGTTGATATAGTTAATGAAAGCTTCTTGAAAAAGGTTTTCATAGTGCCTTTTAAATAAAATAAATTATGTTCTTTAAAAAAACAACAACCAAAAAGAAAAAACTATTTCGGAGATGTCGTACTGGCCCAAAAGGTGAATTTAAGTATTAATAATGACTAATATTACAGTCGTTCTGGCTGTTTGATGCTGATCAGAGGTAAGAGTCAACTCAAAAGAGATTTTATACTTTTCTTGAAAAACGCTGAATCTTCTTTTAAGTCTAATTTAAACCTGAGTTAGAACAAATTAAGTGTGCAGAAAATGGCCTTTCCACTGCTGGTTCAAATTCTACAGATGGGTACACATGGGGTACTTTTATCAGTGGATGCAAACGATAGTAACCGACCACAGGAAGCAGGTTAAAACCAGAGCTACAGCAGAACCACACCAAATGCACAGAGCTCACATGTAGCCTCCCACTTAGCGCCAGCTGAGACGTCCCAAGCGCCAGGACTACCGTTAGCCGTGTGATGTACAGTTTATAAATAAAAAAAAGCATTTGGATTAATCCGTTACAAAACGTCATGGGTACTTATACATCTTACATATTTTCATAAAGCTATTTAAATGAATTTAAACTGGCTTTCACACGAGCTACACACTTTATGCAAAAAAACACACATCATATTATAAGTATGGCTGTTTATTTTATAACTTCAATAAGTACTTTACCTAAAAAAAAAAACACATTTTAAACAGAAGAGGAGAAAAATAAACAGAAATGTTAGAAAAATACACCGGTTGGATGGAATGAAAGTGTGCAGTCTTGCTGGCCTGACAAAGCTCCTAATACACTGAAGGCGTTTGTATAATCACAGTTGGCTCACTGAAACTTTAAGCAAGCAACATCACAAAGATTTGACACAACAATACTGTCACTACCTCTTACAGTTAAATAGAAAAATAAACCCTTGTGACTGACGTGGATAAAGGTTCATCTCCTGGGAAGTTTTCCTAACCTCAAGGAGCACAGCTGATCAACCTTCAGTCACAGCTAAAGTATTGCGGAGTAGAGTGAAATGTAAAAAAACTCATATTTTTGTTCAGTTTTGTTGCACATGAGCACAAAACATTGCACTTTCGGACATCAAGTTGTATGAGTTTGTGAGGTAAGGAATGGTAACAGGATTTCTCCTACATCTTTCACTGTGTTTAAACGCATGGCACAGATAAAAATAACTTAGCTTTTGACTGATTGATAAATTTGCATGACATCTCTCTTTTATTATTATTATTTTTTAGATTTTTCCCACCTTAAGGAATGTACAGTTATATAACGGCTTACACTGATTACTATCAGACAAATATACATTGATTCAATTTAAATGTAAGCAATAATGGGTGCATCAGCTACGTCTTTGGTTTTGCTTTTAGTTAGTTGTTGTTTTCTTTGGTTGTCACAGTAACAAGTTGCTTGGCAGCTTTGGCAATGTCATAGGCACACTGGATAACCTGCTGAGTGACCAGCTGGATGTCCGATGGGCAGGGATTGTGCTCCGCGGCCTTCTGGCACTCTCCGTGGAGCCGGTTGGCGCTGGAGGTGAGCAGGTAGAGAGAACTCCGTACCGTCTCCAGAGATGGCCTCTGTCAGGACAGCAAGGAGGCATGAAGATGAATGACTGTGGTCTGTAGCCACAAAGATGCTGGATTCATGTCTGAAGTGAATGTTTAACAATAGCTATGTTTACAAGGACATAAGTAATCGGATTAAACGGCCATTTGGAATAAAAATGTGTCATGTAAACGCCCCATTCAGATTATTCTTTGTTGATTCAGTTCGATACGAAAAAATCTGTAATCAGAATGAGAGGGGTGATTTATGTCGATTCATAATCTGAACGGTGTGCGTGTAAACACTTAATCTGATCATTTTATTCTGATCGTTGAAAACTGACCTGATTGCGCACATGCGACCAATGTCTACCTCACGTATTTCCGCCTGGTTGTATGCTAATATGTCGGAAGCAAAACTGGTCGGTGAGTGACAACATTTCTACTAGAAACTTTGAAAGAGCTCAAAATGATCTGCATCACCTGTAGCTCAGTCAGGGAGTGCAGGAACGTCTCCACCATCATTAAAACCTGTTGCAAGTCCATTTTGAGTGCTCAGGTTTGTTTATGTTCATCACAGAAGTAGAACTTCTTCTTCTGTGTGTTTTTAAAGGAGAGTTTACCACTCTGCACACGTCAGTACTTCTATTCTGAATAAAAGCCCGCTGCATGTAAACAAACACTCGCCATGAACGGATTGTATGTAAACGATACATTTGGATTATTTTATTATTTTATCCGAATACATTTCAATCCGATCAAAGAATTTTGTGCATATAAACATAGCTAATGAATGAGGACAGATCTTTGTTTTGTTCTGGATTATTTAGGTCGTTTACCTTTGGAAACAGGGCAGCCATCTCTGTGACAGCCAGGCAGATCTTCTCAGAGCACGGCAGAAAGCTGTTAACAGGAAGAAAAAGATGAAAAAAAAAAAAATAGCATCTGCTTCAAACTTTCTTAAGCTCAAAAAGAGCTACATGGGCAATGCTTTCCAGAAAACTGCTGAACTTTACAGCCTGAGATTAACAGCAGTTGAAAGGGACTGATAAATAACGGTTTACACTTTTTTATTCTAGCAATGCTGTACCTCTCATGTTTGGTTTCCTGAGCAGCTCTAAGAAGTTCCTGGATGTTCTTCGTGATCTGCTCCGTCTTACAGATAACATCCTCTGTGCACGGCAGGGTGAAGTCTCCTTCACCTTCCTCTTCTGGTTCCACTGCTTCAGGGGCTGCAAGAGGGCTGCTAGAAATACAAAGACACAACAACTGTTATCTTTACAATAGTAATAAAACAATCTTGACTCAGGAAGATCATATGCTCTCCTGTTCTAAAACCAACTCTGATGGATGAACTGAAGCAAGTAAAATACATGCATCACAATGACTACTGTTTTATATTTTAAGTCCTAAATGCAGCTTCATACCTACAAAATGACAAAACCTGTGACCCGACGATCACCGGTAAGATTACACAAACATTTCTAATAAGCTTATTAAAATGAGACAATATTAAAAACAGATCCACATAGGGCTCTTGATTGTCACTTAGAAAGAACTGCTGTATTACAGTAATTAATATTTGTATCTCTCCCTCTTAAAAGCATAAAATCTAAAAGCACTATTTGCCAGTTGTATAAAAAACATCTTCAATCTATGCATTCACCCTTGATGACAATAAAAATGTTTTTTAAAAAAATGGCTGTGTATCAAAGTAAAACCTTTGATTGGCTGATTTCTGCAGATGCCTGTAACATCTGTTTAGGCTGCACAACATTTTCAGCATCAACCTGCAACGTCCACAGACAAAACTTGTCTTCCTAAAACATTTTGGGCTAGAAAATATAAAGACAATTTTATGTCTCTCAGACTAAAGTCTTTAACCCCTTCAAAGCTTTATGAAGAAAACGAGCTTTAAAAATCAGCAGTCTGTTGCAGGTCGTTCTGCAGATGTTTTTACTTACCTAGCATCCTCCTGTTCAGAGTGACTGGGTGTTGTGTCATAGTCATTCTCCAGCATCGTACTCTGCCCTCCAAGACTACAGCCCTATTGACATCAGTGAACTAAAATCAGTCAAATATAGTGGAAACCCATTGTGGTTTTAGCGCATACGTCACAGCAGCTTTAGATCATAGTCATGCTTCTGAATTATTTCATTTGAAAGCCATTGCAGAGAAAAAGAAGTGCAAACCGAGGTGTTTGGAGTGGAAGACGTCTGAAGTGCAGCAGATGCAATTAGTAGATGCAATATTCATTTTCTATCATCAGTGTCAAAAACAAAAAGCATTGGTGTCTTACTTTGTCATATACTGCTGCAGAGCGACTGCTCCAACAACACTGGTGCAACATTTCATCACTGCTTATGTTTACATTCAGATGATTGAACTGTAGCAGAGATGCTGTTGTGGTACATGCATGCAGGCAGTAGTGACAAAAAGCAGTTCAGAGGAGGAGCAGAAGCAGTTTTTTCCCCGGGGCTGCCTCAGAGCCAAGGGGACTTTCAGTACTCAACCCTTCGAGATCTCTCATCCCGCGACCAGGACAGGGGAGAGGGGAAGGTAGGGAGGGAGGAGGCAGCTGTCCCCAAAGGACCCCTACCAATCTAGAAAGGGGTCAAACCGGGTTGAGCACACACTATTGAGATGCAATAAATCATTGAATGAATAAATGAAAAACCAACACCAGCCCCAAGCCGAGCACCGTCATTTTAAATCACCATGAGGAGAAACATCAGTGAGGTGTTTGCACTTACGTTTGTAGGGAAGGGTTGTAAAATGACTCCGTCATCTTGGCGAGTCGTTTCAGCTCGGTGGGAGAACTGCCTCGGAGCAGAGCCCGTCTCGTACATGGACATGGCTCGACCTCCGCGAACCGGATGTCGACCAAATGGCCCCTGGGGGTGTTGTTGCCCGCTGGGGGCTTGCCATCGCAGCGTTGTGTTTTCCGTCTGCAGGGAGCTCAGCTGTAGAGAACAACAAAACATTTCTGGATTTCTGGGCGCATCCCTCACAAAAGCTCTGTATTCATCGAGTAAAGGGCCCTGCATACTCCATCCAAAGCAGCAAAATCGGTTCTCACTGACGTAGCTGCGTGACGAAAATCACGTCATTTTGTTCTCAGAGCAGTTGCCCGCGCCTTCTTGATGCAAGGCCCAGGCCAATCTTTATCTCACAGGAATATGCAGCAAGTATTGATTGGTTGGTCAGAAGATTGTAGCTGAGTGCAGAAAAGCCCTGACATCGATCTGTACAACTCTTCATAACAGCCAAATGGCCAAAAACTCCTGGAATGAGATTGTGCAGACATTGTGCGCCAAAGAGTCTGTTTGCTGAAAAGTGTGGCGTTTTCTTCATGATAGATTTGTGGCCAAACGGCGGAGGAAGGGACAGAGTGGAGACGGGTGGGAAGAAATCCACGGGGTGACGTATACTGCATTGGGAGGGGTTTCCCAAGAGCTCTGCGCCTGTGTCTTGTGGACCAAGATGTGTGCAAAAACAAACTTCCTGCAAACACCTGACTGTGCATTGACTGTTCGACTATGGATGGAGTATGCCTGTTTGTGGTCTTTTGTACAGCACTTTGGTTGGCCTTGTTGCTGTTTTAAGTGCTATATAAATAAATTGGTATGGTATGGTATGGTATGCCGGGCTCTTAAGCCTCCATGTAAAGGGCAGACTGAATTCACATTCATCTAAGCTTTGCTTGCTCTTTATAGCATTTCACAAGTTTTGTTTCCTTGACAAAATAACTGCTGACACTTTCCATTGACAGAAATGCCCACAGTGAGAGCTCCTGGGACAAAAATGACCTGGTAGTTGCTCATCATGATAATATCCAGGCCATTTAAAGTTCAGTGCAACACAAATAATAATGAGTTGTGCTTTTACCAGTTTGATCCTGAATTGTTTACTTATTCCTGTGAAAATGTGGGGAAACAACACTAAAGATCTGCTGGTTCAGTAGTTACTGTTCAGACTGACAGCAGCTGAAGTTTGGGTTGGTCCATGAATAAAAGGTAAAAGGCAGTTATGAACCTAATAAACCAGCAGGAGGAGACATTACTCTAATTCAAAGCAAAGAAAAAAAATGCAGAAGGACCAGAGGCACTCCAGAAAACTGAAAATGCTCTGTATGCACGGAACACAATCTGTGTTTTTCTGCACACCATATATAATCTGACCATCAGTTAACTAAACGGACATGTTAGCAAATACAAGTGGTAATTTCAAGGGTGCACTCACAAAAACACAAATCTCTGCTACATTTAGATGGTTTATAACTGATGGCTGCACAGACACGTAAATGGATCCATATTTTCTGTGGTAACAACTAGGCCTTCTGATTCATTTAGGATTCTGCCCAAGTCATTCTAGTTTACGTCACAAAAAACTACGAATATAACAAAAAATAAAATTAAATGTAAAAATAACTACTACTCTTTTAATATATCAATAAAAGTATAGAATTTTGCAACGGGATATGTCTTTAGGTTTTAAAATCCACAATTTGGCATAAAAGAGGAAATTCTTTGTTTTGTGGAGCAGCTGCCAAGATGGATTTCACAAACACTTATCTGTAAAGTCTGTAAAATATGTGTGTACATGTTTATTCAATGTAAGGGTGATTAAGGACTTGAGAAGCTCCACCCCATCAGGACCACATCATTGGTTTAGTTTGTTTAAAGCTCATTGTTTAGTCCACTTTTTGCACAAGCAAACAAAAAAAAGGGAACAAAATATTTAATGGTACAATTCTAATAAAACTACTTCACGAAGTATTAACAATTAATTTAAAGAGTTTCTATTGGGCTCATTAAGAATGTCAGATCAAGCTCATCATTCACTTTTCACTGCCTGATAATGGAAAAACGGGTGAAAATAAATTTTATGAACCAGCAGGCTTTTTATTAATGAACTAATGCTGCTGAGCAGAGCAAAGAACCAACCAATATGCATCAAAGAGGCTATAAATGGAACATTTCAAGTGCAAAACGACCTCAAACTGCATTATTAATCATCAGCGTGTAATTTAACAAACCTTGCTCTGCATCATCCGCAGCTCTTCACTCAGATGACAGTTGACTTTGAGAAGTTGTTGTATTTTGGCTTCTGATGCAGTGAGGGCGCTCTTCACCTCCAAAAACTCCTGTACTGTGATCGGGCCGTCAGACAGGTCAGAAGACTCTGAGCTCTGAGACAAAATATATATATTAGATCTGGGTCTGATTACAGATTTCTTGGTTCAATTTGTTTTGAAAGACGGACCTTTGTCCTTCCATCGTTGCAGCTGTCTCCACACGTGGCCTCCTGGACGGGGTCTTCATCTGAAGCCACGCTGTCGTAATCCGGCTGGTCGTTGTCTTGGCTCTCACTGTTGTGGCGACTGTCTATTCCTTGGAGGATCAACTCCACGTTGTCTGATAACAAACCAAAATATTAGAGATGAATGACGATATTATCGGCATGGTATCGGTATGAGCCGACATTAGCGATAAAGTTAAATATCGGACATTCCATCAAAATAACTCACCGATATAAATGGCTTTTGTTTTAAGTTAATTTTTAATTTAAGAAACAGTCAAGTATATCTATTAATGCACTACTACTTATGCGCTTTCCACTTGTCGCTTATGAACAGGTTGAGTTTAGATTTGTGAAAAATTACGAATTTGCACTGTTCAAGTGTTGTCAATGTGTTAGAGAGTAAATGTGTCAAGTGTTGTGCATTTCAGGTGAGGTATGAAGTCAGTTTTCATGACCTAAAATAAGGTTGAGCACAGTATAAATCACAGATCCCTGAGTACGTGTTCTGGAAAAGCAAGAAAGGTTTATTTACTGAAACAAATCTAAATAATAGTATGTAACAGTGTGTGAAGTCTTTCTAATATACTATGTGTTAAGAGTGTGAACTTTAAATGATTAAGAATAAATGAATTAGTTACCGACTAAAAGTGAATATAATTGATGGTCAAGAGGTCAAGTTAACAGCTTAATGTTCGTGTGTCAAGTCACCACAAGAAGAGGAAGTCTGAACAGATGACCAGGCCAGTAGGAAGAAAAAAGAGGAAGCTATCTGTAGAAAAAGCAAAAGCTATCTCCAGAAAACAGGAACGAGATACCTTAAGTGAAGAGGCTCTCTCAGAAAAAGAGGAAGCTCTCTGCAGAAAAGCAGGAAGATACACCTAGTGGCAGTTGAAGATAATTTAGCAATGACAGTGACGTTGAACATGTGATCTGACGTTGTAGAATAGTCCGTATCCAAGACTGTTGCTATGCAGAAATTATGCAATGAGCAGACAAATGTATAAAAACGCTCAGCATTAACGATCGGGGCTGAAGCACTTGGAGAGCTTTAAAGGACAGTTCATTGACGCCTTCATTAACTAAAGGGAACTTGAAGATCCGAAGACGAAAATAATTTTTCTCAGCTCAGCCCGGACCTGAAAGCCAACTCAAGTTTCCAAGATTGGATTTTATTGAAGGCAGTATGAAATATTCTTCAAAAGCAACTGAGGGATGATTGTCACCAGCTTCAACATTCAAGGATCCCCTTTGACAAGGGGTCTTCGAGAAGAGATGGTATGACACATACTAATAGCTGTCCTAAAATAAAATTAAATAATTAAAATTGCTTATAGCTATATATACTAGTGGAATGTCAGGACTCTTGACAACATTTTGAGTTATTGGGATTTACTCATTATATTAAATTTGGTATTTTTAAAGTCGTAATTGATACAATTTAGGAGAGTCTCCCCATTTTTGCTGCATTATGGGATTCTGAAGATGCCTTTGTATTTTTATTTTTTTATTTTTCTCCTTTTTGTTTGATAGTTTTTGAACACACTTTAGATTTTAACTTTTTTTATTTTTTATTTTCCCAACTAAACTTAATTTTTGATATTTCACTCCGGAGGATTCTGGGAACACGAGGTAAACTCGAGATGCCAGCTGACGGCTCATCGAGTCCAGTAACGATCTTGAGTTTCTGAGTGTTCTCTGGGGTCTCGGAGCAGCAAAAGTCTTCCCCTGAACCTAATCACCTTACCTTACTTTGGCTCAACAGAGTGAAGATTAATATATTTCTATTTTTCCTCAACGGAGCTTATGAATTTATAATTTTCTGTTTTTACTCATCGGAGCTTCACAGATTTATAATTCTTTGGTTCAGCTCATTGGAGCAAAGGAATTACAACACGATTGAACTGTTTTGCCCCTTGGACATCAACCAACAATCAACAGTAACACCTTTCAGGTAACAAGTGGACTTTTGACTACTGACTTTGTTATGTAACCGAATAATCACTATGGATTTCTGCTATAACGCTGTTCCCCTGCAAATCATTGATTAAAACAAAGCAAAACGTACAATTTTGGATTCTTATTTCAGCACCCCTTTGTTCATGGAAGTGGAAACCTTGGTTCAATGAAACAACAGAAGTATGTGGGAGGTTTTAAACGGTTTTCTTAGCCTTTGATTATAAAACAACACCCAGGAGTCTTATTTTGTTCCTAGACTCTAAAGATTGCCAGATCGGTTAACAATTGCAATGCTAAATCAGGAGATGAGCTACCGTTAACTTGCGCTCCCTCGTCTGCCGAACGACTCCGCTCCGGCTGCTAGGTAGGGCGAGGCACGAGGTGAAAAGTTGGGTGTGGTGCAAGGAAGAAGGTAGTTAACAGTCTGGGTGAATCATCTCAACACAGCCTAAATTGAGAACTGTCCTTGGAAGCTGCTGCAGGTAAGACCTGAGCCATAGGATTAGTTTTGAGACCCGTTGGAGGAGAGGCTGCGGTGAGGGCGAGGCACGTGCCCTGTGCCTACCTCGCTCGGATAGCAAGACAAATGTCATGAATAAAATTTACATTAAACATAATCCAAGTTCATTTTCAGCCCCCTTTTTGGCATCTGCATTTGGTACTGACAAAGACCATGCAGAATAATGTAGTATTTTAATTCCACAGCAGAGAAAGCTCTGTAGTCTCTGTAAGTAGGTCTAGGGGAAAATAATCGGTATTGGTATTGTTTATCAGCCAAATAAGTTTTAACATATTGACATATCGGATATCGGCCAAAAATCCAATATCGTGCATCCCTACAAAATTTTTAAAAATCAGCAGAAAGGAGGATGCTTACAGCAAGATGTAACACATACACATAAAACGCACAAAAATACATGAATAAGGGAACTGAAAGTGTGTTCAAACAAAAATCGACAAACATCTTTTAGTACCTTTCGGGCTGTCGCAGGAATTACCCCACAGTCGTCGTTTAGCATCTGCTAGAATATCGATGACAAGGGTGGCAAACTCACGAGCGCTGAACCGGGCCAGTTTTTGACGACCCTACAAGAAAAAAAAAGTGTCAACACTTAAAAAGCAGCTATAAAAGTTACATTTGAACACGGAGATCCATTGATGTTGTCACTCGCCTGGTTCCTGGTAGAAGAATACTCAGGATTGACGGGCAGAAAAGGCACAACTGTGGTTTCGGTGACAAGTGTGCTGTGGTTCTGAGTGGCCAACCACACTGAAGGAGGGGTTGTCACATTAACATTACACAGACATTTTAATTATAGTTTAAAAAAAATACATTATGCACAATACTGTGTAGTTTTAACAAGGTTTGCAATTGAACCTGCATCAGTTTCCCTTCTGTCCACCTCATCATAAACATCCATGGCGAGTTCTTCAAACTGATGGTTGCTCAACTGCAAGAAATAACGATGAAGAATAAAAGGTGTAGCAGTTGAATGCAAGGTTAGAAAGTCTCAGAGAAATACATCCCAAATAACGATGGCTCACCGACTGCAGCTTCTTTTTTGCAGCCTTTGCAAAATCTGACAAATCCAGGCTGCTTTGGACAAAAACAAATTCCAATATTTTACTTTTTTCTAATGAAAAAGTCCAAGAAAGAGGTGTTAAAATCAACAAATGCACTTACTTATTTCTTATTCATCCAATGAAGCACAAGGAAAAACAGGATTGCAATGAATGTCTCTTATTTTTTACTTTAAAAGTTAGATTTAACTGATTTGTGGAAGTGAGTACATCACAACTGATAGTGTTGTGGTTTATCGGGAATTTAAAAAACTCAGTTTTTGCATCTAAGGCACACATCCTCAAAAAAAATAGAGAAAGCAGCTATTACCTGTCTGTCATTTGAGGAGTGATGAAGTGCTGCCCATTTCTGTGATCTGAAACGCATAAAGGATATAACAACATTTAGTCTCCAAGTCAGGCAGCAGGTGAAGGTGGAGAACCTTCCAGCTCTTACCTGGTCTTCTGCCACAAAGGTAAAAAGCCAACCGATCTGTGAGCTCATACTGGATCTCCACCAGCCTCTCTGCAAGCTCAAAGTGGCCAGCTTGTCTGCGGAGATTAAAAAGAAAACCTTTCATAATTATCTCATCACATAGTAATTAAAAGTGATCAAGATGAAATATATATATTTATCTTCAAAAGCAGCAGCAGCTTCTGATCGTAAATATTAGTGGGGTGGACAAACTGCATTACATTTTTGTTAAAAAATAAATAAAAAGACAGAACACTTATTATTTATTTTGTTGCCTTTTTTGTGTACAACGTTGTTGCGTTTTGGGTTTTTTTCCTCCCTCCTGCAGGTTCTGGCTCAAGAAAACAGTCCAGTTTAAAAAGTTAATCAGAGAAACAGACACTTCCCGCACCCACATCCACCCAAAATGGGAATATTTTCATATTTAAAAAATGTTAAATAATACATACACACAGGTAACAGCTTTCTGGACTGAATATTTATTTGTATTTTGTAGTAATTCTATATTAATACCCCAGATTAACAAAGTTAAATGGGGTGTGGGGGAACGTATGTTAAAAAAAATCTAAACATTTTAAACTAAAGAAGTGGTGTGTGTAAATATTCACCCCTTTGCTTTAAAGCCCCAACCATTTACATCAGAAGCCACATAATTAGTTAAATAAGATCCAGCTGTGGGCGATGAAAGCAGCTGTAGACACTGAAAAAAGGCCGACCATGTTGGAGAAAAGTGTCCTGGTGTACTTTCTGCATTTGGTTTATATCCAGTCTGCCTGCTCCAAACTGAAGTTTTCTTATAAATGTAGTTTAAAAAATAGATCTTTAAAAAGAGAATCTCCACTGTTGGACACAGACGGTTTTGCTGCACGCTATTCCTGCATAAAATAAGATTACATGAGACCTATAGTTGGTATTGTCCAGATCAATGAGCAAAAATCGATCACTGCTGACAGAGTGATAAATCTACTGATGGTAGATTCCCGCTCCATAACTGTAGATGAGTAAAACCTTATGAATCATTAAAAAACATTTTAAATTCAATCTAAAACGATCAAAATGGTTGAAAAACAAACAATACACAGTAGGCTAAGCAATTACACATTTATTGGGAGGAACTACTTTGGGGGCAAACTATTTTTTTCTGCCTTTATGAACCAGCTGCGCTTGTCCAAAAGTATAAAAACTGTGTTGTTCTCAAAACTTTATACTGGATTTATATATAAGTAATAAACAAGATGATTAGGTTGTCATTATGTTGGACTGCAAGCCAAAGAAAATATAAGTACTTTGATGACTGACTTTAACACAAAAAAAACTTTTTTACCATGATTTTTACTATTATTAAACATAAATATGTACTTATACTGTCATTATTCTTATTTACAGGTAATTTTTTTTTTGTGTTAGAGTAAATAAAATGCAATATAGTAGATAAGAGAATATGTTTTAACATTACTGGCCTTTTATTTCAACTTTTTCTAAACAAATTAGCCGAGTTATCGTACTGAATGCTAATGCTACTGGGTCAGTCTGCAGTCTTCATCAAGTGCAAAATATGTAATATGTACATGTTAAATACTTTAGATATTTCTAATTACTCACATTAGTAAATAATGGGTTTAAATATTAACCCTTTAAGTACAAGTTTCAGTCTTAAACATCTGAAAGACAAGTTAATTTATTTTTTCTTGATGATTCATTTATACATTATACTATGTTTTGTGTCTTCTCTTAACTTTATGACCCATGAGCAAAATGATTTTTAGTTGGGTTTTTTATTATAATTTTTCAAAAATGTGGGTTTTTTTTCTGCGTTATTAAAAAAATCTTAGCCCTCAGTCTTGTTTTAGGACTTTCTTTTTTTAAAGTGCTTGTCATGTTTTAATTTTCAGTCACCAAGATGGAAGTGAAACCACTGCCATGACTGACACCTGACAGTCAAAGGTTTGGGCACAGAAAACCCAACGTCTCTTTAATAGAATCAAAACAATAAAGGTTTAAATTGTTACATAAACTCTATTTAAAAAACAAGTACATTTTATGACAGGTTTTGACAACTGAGTGTTGTATGTTGGGAAGAATTTAAAGGAAACTGTTTTCCTCTGGAGTCAAAGGAAAGAAAAGATTTTTTTCACCCATTTTAAAATACATTTGTTTCATTTGTGACCACAGAAGAAAACACTTTATAAAACTAGTTTTAAACACAAGTTTGATTATGTGATGGTATAAAAGGCCACCTACGAGAAAACTGTTTGGTTTAGAGGAAACCCACTCTGTAGGGGGAGACCAGCTTAAATTAAATATGTTCTTTATTTTCAGGGCTTCTGTTCAGTTGTCATAGGATGTGCATCATTTCCTGTCACACACTGGACAAACGATGCCTGCAGCTGAACTGTAGGTTAGATTATTTTTATTAAAGTAAAAATTGATGCGGGTTGTTCTATTTTTATATAGAACCTTTACCACTGAGCTAATCGGAAACGTCTGGTGGGAAGAGGTGACCTGTGTGCTTAGTAGCAAAGTGTAGTGTAACAAGCATCACGCTATAGTGGTCAAAAACAGAATGTTGTTGTTGTTGTTGTTGTATTTTACTCACATCTTTAAAATGACAATATATACAGTAGATGTACACAAATAAGTTTGAATATATCCTGATGTTCTACAATTAGAAAGACGAAACGTTACTACAGTTTTTTGTTTTTTTTTTATGTCCAGAGGACCAGATTTAACTTTTTTAGATAAGTTTGGATATAGCGTAATAGTTGTTTTTAAAATGCGACTGCTCAGGCATCAAAACCCCTTTAAAAACCAACATAAAGATTAAATAGTGATAAATTAAAAATGTATGATTCGTTTTACCTTGCGTAGTTAATGGGGGTTTTCCCACTCGAGTCCAGAGCTCCAGGATCAGCTCCATAAACTGCCAACAACTCCGCCTGCAGAATCTGACCAGCTTTAGCTGCTATGTGGAGCGGAGTGTTTCCTTTTTCCTAATATCACATCAAACACAGTTTCAGCTTTTAAAACGTGATGTTTTAAACACATTTCTCCTGTTTTCTTCTGGTCTTACAGGGTGGAAGAAGTTGGCCTGTGCTCCTAAGGACAGGAGTCTGAGGCAGGTCTCCAGGTTCCCTGTCCGAACACTAGAATGAAGTTGCTGAAAGAAAATCAGAGAGTGGTTTGTTTGGATCTGGCTGCAAGGTTCATCCATACAATGTTGACTTAACTGCATGCACCTCACCAAAATCTGTCACTTTCTTTTAAAATAAGTGGTTATTTTACAGGAGAATGGCAAAATGTACAGAATTTAAGATACTATGATATACCAGCATTAGCCACCTGCTCAGCCCCATAAAGATTTTTATATTTCTTTATGAGAAAACCTCACCGGCAAAGTTCCCCAACAGAATTGGCAGCGTTCTGTCCATATGTACATATCCTGATGCATGCTCAATATAAAAATAAATATAAATAGTACATGCTATTTCTGTCAGATGTTTACTGATTTAGAGGAACTGGACAGTACCAAATAAATACACAGATCATCTTTTAGTGACAGTACAATCTTTGAGATCTACCACTGCCCGTTGAGTAACAATGAGTTATTACTGCATCGAACATGGTCAGTGAAATATTTAAGTGAAAACCAAAGACTATGCAATTACCTTACTGAGGTCTTTTGCAGTTACACTGTCATCCTCCCGACAAGGCAGCCGATGTACATAAGCCAACATCTGATATTTCGCCTTGATGAACTCCGTCTTGTTGGGACTGAAAATATTTTTTTTACACATCAGTACTATTTTAAAATTATTAATGTGTCAAATAAGTTGATAATTTATGGAATATCTACAGTGAAACTGGTCAGTTTACCGTTCGTTTTGGTATTCTGAATGTACAGTTTTTAGTGGGTGTGCAATTCTTCTATGATGTCATCTTCATCTCATAATAAAATCCCAAAAGTCACAGTTTGTATCCAAACGTCTATTTTTCTCTGATGATTGTCTGAATACAAAATTAATCTATTTTACTGTACTCAACTGATGAAAACCGGCTTTGTTGGTGATGAGAACGCGTGTTCACTGAAACTGAATGTCTTCCTTGTTTTGTGAATAAAGCTGCACGCAGTCTGAAGCAGCTGCAGCCTTCGACTCGATGGACAAACAATCAACTCATTAAACTGTTCCCACAACTAGCTGGAGCTATTTTTCAAGAACTACTTTAAAGTTGTGAATGTTGACGACATTGCTAGTTTCCAAATCACCTAAACGTTTCTTCATTCTCTGGGAAAGTTCCTACAACTCCCGTCTGTTGTCTACTGAGTGAATGCGTTTGCTCTGACTCTGTTTACACATGGCTGAATGTTTATCTCTACTCCAGCAGCCAGACACTAGAATAACGCACTGTTTATACCTAGAATTAGATGTTACTACATACATAACATATATTTGTGTTATTCAAAGATTCAGTGGTTTACGCCTAACATACTACACTTCAATAAGCACAATATTGTTTTGGACTCTCTCATCTACTGGAAACTTATTGAGGAAGGTCTCGAGTTTGTCACATTCAGGATACAGAGAGTCAAAATGTGCATATTTGCTGACCTTAGCTATGAAAATGAATGTGACCAGAAGAGCTTTCTGTAAAGTGTGAGCAAGCGTACCAAAATCTGCAGTGACATTATCTGAATCCTCAAAAAGCACTTACTGAACTCTGTCCTGAGGGTTGGCTTTGCGCTTTCCGCCGACTGAAGAGGAAGGATCCAGAAGGCTATGTTCCCATATGGAGTTTGCTCCATTACCGTACAACGTCTGGACCATCTAGAACAAAAACACAATGAGCTAAAGAGAAGAAGCTTAATTTACAAGTCTACTACTTGTGTACCTTTCTGAAACATAAACATGTCAAACAGTGCCATACAAAAGCTTGAAATCAGCCCCTAATTTCTTCACACTTTGCTTCCAAGAAATCAGACCTTCTCATGATCATTGGAAGTGGTCTCAGTTGATGGATCTTACAAGCTTTCTGAAGGGTTTGCTTGTGATTTTGGCTGCTTTTTTCAGCTTTCTTCCTTGGATGCAAAACGTAAACAAACAAGGGATGACTCAAGACGTTTGCACCTATGCAACAGATGGCATATCTGCTCATTTCAGTGGATTCCAGTCATCTACATGAGGATGTCTCCATGCCCACCTGCAGCTGAGAGGGTGGCCAAGTAGAATGAGTCAGATGTCGGACTTGGGAGCTGTGTCGACCGAGACCACGATGGATGCTGCAGCACTCGTCACAGATCAACACACCTCTGTTAACAGAGGCCCACCGAGGCTCTACAACACACACACTTTTGTTAAAGTAGTTATAAAACACAAAACACATCGATGCATACCTTTAAACGAAAGCGTTTCTCATTTCAAGCCAAACGAAATTAGCTTAACAGTAACAGGTTTTCCCGTCTTTAATAAGTTCTAGAAATATGTACTTGTCCGACATCACTTGTAAAACAATTAAAAGTGTAAGATAATTACTAATGAGCTGTCGGTAATGTTAGTTAGCTTAGCTAATCGGACATAGCGGTAAGTTAAAGTAATGGCTAGCTCGTTAGCTCGGCTGCTAACGGTAGCGCTAGCTTGTTCGTCGTACCAGGAGCGCTGCAATCAGCGCAGACCTCTCTGCTTCTCACTCGCTTTGACATCCCGTGATTCAAATCCTCTGCGTCCAGGAACAGCAAATGTTTTTTTTTTAAAAGGTACACCACAAGTAATCCGCCTTGATAGACAGATTTTCTCCCAGGCAAAGCGGCTGTCTGTCTGCCTGCCCTCCTCCCTCCTACTGTTGAACAAAGCGTCGACGTCTCGTTCCAATTTTCACGCAGCCTCCTTCACGCTTCCTTGTCCGCTTGCTTCCTTGTGTCCTTCGATCGTTATCTTATCATACAAAGTTATTCCCCCGTAGTGAAAAGAGCATTTGAATAAAGGTTGCAGTGGTGGTCAAATGTTAACCCTTTTTTATTTTATTTCTAATGTCCCAGGCTAAAACCTAAAACCGTGTGGTCCTTACTAGGAAATGTCCCTCAAAAGTGGAATTCAGTAACCCAGGATAAGAAGAAATGATGAGCTTGGACTTGGAGCGTCCTGAATGATTTCTTAAAAAACAGTCATCCTCCATCTCATTTAACTGCATCCATATCTCTCCTCTTTGTCTTTTTCCTGGCAGCTGCATTTCTAACATCATTCTACCAATATACCCATTGTCCCTCCTCTGGACATGTCCAAACCATCTCAGTCTGTCCTCTCTAATTTATCTCCCAGTTGTTCAACCTGTGCTGTACCTCTGATGATCTCATTCCTAATCTTATCCATCCTTGTCACTCCTAAGGAGAACCTCAACATCTTCATTTCTGCCACTTCCAGTTCTTTGTCCTGTTTTTTTTGTCCATGTCTCTGTCTCCAGACCATACAACAGCTGATGTCGCCATTGTCTTGTAAACTTTTCCTTTGACCTTTGCTGCCACCCTGTTGTCACTGCTGAAGCTTTTCTCCATCCACTCCATCCTACCTGAACTCTCTTTATCACCTCTTTACCACATTCCCCATTTTCCTGGACAGTGGACCTCAAGCACTTGAAGTCCTGCACATTTGTGACCTCTGCTCCTTATAGCCTTACTGTTCCACCTACACACATATACTCTGTCTTACTACGGCTGACTTTAAATATGAGAACATTAATGGTCTCTGTTAAATTACAAAATAAATTTCAGCCTCTGGGCATAGCAGTAGTAATTTCCTACTACAAAATCAGCAGAACACATATTACAGGATGAAAATATGGATTATTTTAGATTTTAGTTTAACTGAAACTTCTGTCTGGACAATGAAAACGCTAAATCTGGATGTTAACCTGGTCTGGTAGATACTTATACAGAATGGTAATTTAAATGCTACTGCTTTTGTCATTTCAGATGAAGAATATAACTCCTGGCTTAATCCCATGATAGGTTTTGGTGAAACAGCCCAAGCACCAACAAAAAATAAGCCAAAATGCAATGGCTGTGAAACTCTAAATCAGGATCTTAATCACATTAATCCCAACTGTGTGACTTTATCAGTCTCTCACATGGCTGTAGAGGAATTTTGGCTCCCTCGTTTTTGCAACATTACTTCACGTTATTGAGGCTTGCAGTTCTTCAGCTTTAATAAGGTTCCACCCACCACAACATTTCAGCTGGGCTGAGGTCTGTGTACTGGTTGCAACACTTCCTTTTTCAGCCACTCTGTTATAAGCATGCGGGATCATTGTGATGTTGCATGACGAACCATGTTGGTCATGTTGATGCTGCATGCCACCATCATCCCAGTTCCAAAAAGCTCTAAAATGACTGGTCTGAATGACTATCGGCCAGTGGCCCTCACCCCGATAGTCGTTAAATGCTTCGAAAAAATGGTCATGACTCACATCAAAACAACCATCAACATCAACGAGGACCCTCATCAGTATGCATACTGTGAGAACTGATCAACAGAGGATGCCATCTCCTCTGTGGTCCACACTGCGCTCAACCACCTGGAGCAGAAAAACTCTTACGTCCGTATGCTCTTTGTGGACTTCACATCTGCCTTCAACACCATGATCCCCCAAACCCTGATGGACAAACTATCCACACTAGGACTAAGCCCCTCCATCTGCAACTGGGTACTAGACTTCTTAACAAACAGACCACAGTTAGTGAGGATCCACAACTTCTCCTCCTCCACCATAACCCTCAGCACTGGCTCTCATCAGGGATGTGTGTTGAGCCCTCTCCTGTTTACTCTGCTCACGTATGATTGTGCAGCTACCCATCCAGGCTGTCACATTGTAAAGTTTGCAGATGATACAGCGGTGGTGGGATGCATCACAAACAATGATGAGTCCAGCTACAGGCAAGAGGTGGAACACCTGGAGAGCTGGTGCAAAGAGAATAACCTTCACATCAAAGTGAAGAAGACAAAGATGATTGTGGACTTCAGAAGGAACAAAAACATCTACACCCCCCTGAACATAAGAGGATCTGCAGTGGAAGTGGTCTCCAGCTACAAGTACTTGGGTGTACACATGAATGACAACCTCAGCTGGAGCAACAACACCACCAGCCTGATCAAGAAAGCTCATCAGAGACTCTACTTCCTCAGACGGCTGAGACGAGCTGGTCTGGGAAGCTCAGTCCTCACCTCCTTCTACAGGTGTGCAGTGGAGAGCATCCTGTGCTCCAGCATCAACGTGTGGCATGGAGGCTGCACAGCTGCAGAAAGAGAAGCTTTGCAGAGAGTGGTGAAGGCTGCACAGAAGTCTGTTGGAATCAGTCTCCCCACCATAACAGACATCTGCACCTCTAGATGCAGGAAGAGAGCCACCTGCATCATGAAGGACCCCACTCACCCAGCACACACACTTTTTGTCCCACTCCCCTCAGGAAGGAGGTTGAGGAGCATTAAGTGTAGAACCACTAGACTGAGGAACAGCTTCTACCCTGAGGCTGTTAGACTCATGAATCTCTAACTAGAATAATCACTGTGAAAAAAATCACATCATGTTGCTGCTGATCTGTTTCATGTTGCTGCTGATCTGTTTAAATGTTGATGTGTTCATGCGTGCTCATCTGCTCACACACTCATTTTCATGTTTGTGCTCATGTTCGATGTAATGTTTTTATGTTATGAGTGCTTAGTGTATATTTAGTTGATGTTTTTCTTAGTTCATATCTTAGATGTTATTACTGTTTTTCTTTTACATTTTATTGTTGGATGTAACTGGGACCCCGTGTACATAATTTCGCTCCACCACATGTACCACATGAGGTGTGAATGACAATAAAGAAACTCTGACTCTGACTGACAAGTTTTTACCAGAGTTTAGAAGGAAAATTCATGGTCAACTTTGCTGTAATTGCAAAGAACTAAGATTCAGCTGCTTTGATTTTGTTTCATTCATGAGTTTTATTTGAGAAAATGATCAATGCTTGAAGACAGCTACCAATCGGCAGCAGTCTTCAATGTGTTTTATTCTGATAATCTTTCACTGATGGGAGACTGAACTGTTAGGAACGAGTCTCGTGCCCAGTTTGATAAGAAGCGGCATTCACTTCATTAAGATCCCTATAACTGCTTCCCCCTCCTTGCAGACATTTTATTTTGCTGTTCTCATACATTATATAGGATTTAAAATGTCAGATAATGTGGGAGTTAGGCCTAGCTTGTTTCCCCCCCTTAAAATTCAAGTCAATTCAATTAAGTTTGTTTATATAGCACCAAGTCACAACAGAAGTCATCTCAGGGCACTGAACAGAAACTTTCATATATAAAAATAACAAGTTAACATTATTTATCTGAGGAGCAGACTGCTTTGAATTTAACTCCATCACAGAACTCTCATCTTGCGCAAGCACGAAGGCGACAGTGGGAAGGAAAAACTCCTTCATGAGGAAGAAACCTTTAGCAGAATCAGGCTCAGGGCAAGCGGCCATCTGCTTTGACCGGCTGGGTTTGAGAAGAACAGATACACAATGGCAGGTCGAGAATCTCATGTTAAGATAGAAATAGTATCAAATGAAAACTGTTTAATTTTAACAATCTTTTAAGAAAATTAGGTCATTTTGTCCTCTCGTAGTCTAAGCCTATGGCAGCATAACAAGCCAACCCTACTATAGGACATCAAAAAGGAAAGTCTTAAGCCCAGTCTTAAAACTAGACAATGTGTCAGCCTCACGGACAGAAACTGGAAATTGGACAGAAAAAAACTGAGAAAAGCACATGTGAAATGTGTCTTCTTCTCTCATATACAACAGTCCCTCGTTTATCGCGGAGTATCCGTACCCTGAAGCCCTGTGATAAGTGAAAAACCATGAAGTAGGAAGTAGTATATATATATATATATATATATATATATATATATATATATGTGTGTGTGTGTGTGTGTGTGTGTGTATGATAGTCGTTTTAAACCATTCCCACACTCTGGCAACATTCTGAACAATGTTTCTAAACGCTCTAAAAGAGCACAGAATGGCATGGTTTCAGCTCCCTGCCTCCTCTGCTCTCAGCCACCTGCAGGCGCTCTTGGCCACGCCCACTTCTCCGCTCTGCACGGAGAACAGCTGATCAGCTGCAGCAGGAAGCTTATCCTGCAGTATGGGTTGCACAAAGGTGCAGGAGGACGATTTTTTTTTTCTGCAGCTCTGGGCTGCACAAATAAGGTGAAGCAGGTGCTAAACAATTTTTAAATCATTTATTTTAAATAAAAATGCCATGCCGATCGTGCAGCACATCCATCAATCAGCCAATTGTGTGTCATGTCTTATCTTATTTTTGAAAAACTGCAATAGAGCGAGTCCATGATAAACGAACCACAAAGTACCGAGGGATACTGTATTTATGTTCACAATAGAAACTAAACGCATGTTCATAAAACAATTAAACAAAATAGCAGCAAACATAAGCTGCCCCTGACTGATCACAAATCTCTAACAATGCCCCCCTAGGCCTCCCCGTTAGCATCGCCCCTGGTGCGCGCGTGCGTTGGCCCTTTAAATGGGTGGTGGTTGACGGTGAGATAGCAGATAGGTTTAATTTAGTCCCTGAACACGTCGTGCATCCAGGAACCTCTCTGCTGATCGTCTGGTAGCCTTTTCCCTCCCCTCCCTCCTCCGGTCTCTCTCCGGTAAAAGCTGCTTGTGTCTGCCCCGGAGCGATGGGAGGTACGGCCGCACATCACCAGTAATTTCCCGCTGACTGATCCGCACATTCATCATGTTTTCTCCCGTGACAGAGGCCGAGACGCGCCAGAAGCTGCTCCGCAATGTGAAGAAGGAGGTGCGTGCCTTTCTTTATCTCACGTCGTGTTTACAGGGAGCGTGGATGGACAGGCCTGTTTATGATAAAAATAATAATAATAAAAAAATAAAATAAAATAAAAAACGTTAAGACACAAATGATGCTGGAGGCTGCTGCAGATGTGTCCAGCTGCTTCTGTCTGCTGAGGCTGACGATGATGCTGATGATAATGATGACGATAGTGATGATGATCTGAGGAGCCTACATTGTGCCCTGCACAGATTTTGTCACTGGATGTGCAGAAGCTGAATTTTACGAACAACTTAAATAAGCATCACCCCAAACTTCAAGGTGTGACCTTGCCATCCTTTTTTTTCCCATTATTTTAACCCTCATCACGAGCTCTAAACTGCAGCTTGTTTTGCTCATAATGAAAAGCACATCTAACAATGAAGCTGCTCATTTCACTCTGAGGACAAATTAAATCGTTTTTTTTTTTGAGTGGATGCAAACAGAGCATGCTCCTTCCAGACTTTTTCTTGCGTTCATGCTCGCCCTCACCTGTGACTCATTGCTTCTTAAAAAAGCACACCCATGGCTCAGGTTCTGCTGCAGGGAGGAGTCTACATTTGATAAATAGATTCTGCTCAGGTTATTGTTGCAAAGCAGAATTTAAATGTTTGTAACCATTAGCCTCCTTTGATTGCACTAATTGTCATGAATCAATATGAATTTTTGGTCCTTTCATACACGATGCTCCTTCTTATCCATACAGAACATCCCGTTAAAAGTTGATTCACTACGTCTTATCATGTGTGTTTAACAAAAAAGTTGTTTTCATTGCGTTTTCTTTTTTGCTTTTGGTCCATTTTGACTGAGATAATGACGAGTGTGAGAACAAGTTGGTTTAAAAAGGAAACGGTGAAAAGGGGGAACTACTGAAAATCCAACATTAAGTTAAATTTTGGTTTAATATTGCAGATGTTTGTGATGTTTTTGGAGTCATGTGACCTGGTGCAAATTGATACTATTTTAAACTGTTGTAATTCTGTCTCCGTCTAAACTGAAAGACATGACAAAGGAAAATAATTATTTTTCTCAGTTGCCATGTATATTTTGCGTTATAGTTGGCAGAATAAAATAGTCCTAGATCTGGAAGGGTCAGTTGTGTTTATTTTTTTTTATAGAAAATTAAAAAATTTGGATTGCATCACAAGTTTGCTAAAGAAAAATCTCACCTTTATATAAAAAACTGCGCTCTAAAGGGTTAAGAAAAGCTAAATAAAGTTGAATAAACAAAATCAAAAGGGCACACTGACAAGTCACAAACAGCACGAGAAACAAATGCATTTAAAAATGAGTTCTGAATGCTGGCTGAAATTTGCAAATGAGGCTGAAGCTGAACTGTTAAAGCTAAAAGAATCATATCATTAGCTAAAAGCTAAAAGGAGCTAAACTCTATGTAAATACTAAAAATAGCAAAACGCTAAAAGAAGCAAAACACTTCCGAAAAGTTAAACACAACCAAAAGGCTAGTTAAAAACTGAAAGTAGCAAAAGGCTAGCCAAAAGAAATAAAAGGGCAACTAAAAGCCAAAGTAGCAAAAGGCTAGATAAAAGTTTAAGTATAGTCAAAAGCTAAAAGTATCAGGATTTTAGCAAAAAGCTAAAGGTACCAAAAGGCTAATTTAAAGCTAAAAATAGCAAAAGAGTAGCAAAAAGTAGCAAAAGGGTAACTGTGAGCAAATATAGCAAAGGACTAGCTAAAAGTTTAGGTGGGCAAGAGCCCAGCTAAAAGCTAAAATAGCTAAAATAATATAGATCCGGTTGTTGGAAAACTATTTTCATACTCCCATCCTGTTTGCATGATTCTTTTGAGTTTGCTTGTGAAGGCACCATGTGACAAACTGTGACTGGAAGAGGATTAGCTTCTTTAACTCTCATCATACAGCCTCTCAGTGCTCACTCGGGTTATTATTGCCTCTTTGGTGTTATAACTTTAACTTTATCAGACTAGTTAAGACTTGTCTTTGTGTATTTTCCTCTCATTCAGGTGAAACAAATCATGGAGGAAGCGGTAACGAGGAAGTTTGTGCATGCGGACAGCAGCCACATCATCTCCTTCTGCGGTAAACGATTCTCTGCTCATGATGTTTGTAGCAATTACATGAAGGTGAAAGCTTCGAATGATGCCAGAAATAAGGAGATGCTAAATAAACTATGCATCGTGATTTTATTGTTCTACCTAAATTAAATCTTACTTTGCACATCCTGTGTTAAACTACATACTGTTAAGCAGAGTTTTTACCACAACGCTGCAGATGTGCTGAGCTCTCTCACCTCCTTCAATTTTATCTCCACATGTTCCCAAAGATTGTTCCAGTTTGTTCGGAGTCTATAAATCTTTCAGATTTCCTCTCTATAGCCACATATATTAGTATCCAGTCAGCTGGCACTTTGGATAAATTCAGGACTTTGGATTAAAGCAGGCTAACACCTTTTGAAGGTGTTAATATTAACCAAAAATGAGCCATATCATCTCCCTCATATCCTTGCAACCATTTCAATTTATACCTGCTTGTGCTGCCTGCGCTTGCACTTCATAGTTAATATTAGAATACGTAAAGGCGTGCTAAAGCTCTAACTAGATTGTGCTCTTCAAATGAAAACACAAAAAGCAGCTTTGAATGGAAGTGTAAAGGAAACCACCTGAACAATACATTAACCTAAAAGCTCCCTGTGGTTGTGTGTTTACAGCTGTAGTAGAGGCATGTGTGCTACACGGGCTGAAAAGGCGTATCGCAGGCCTGCTGTGCAGTAATAAGGTGGCTGCACTCTTTATGAAGGTGGCAAAGAGCTTTTCTCCTGCCGAGGGGCTCTGCCGTAAAGTCCAGGAGCTGGAGCAGCTGATTGAAAACAGGTGAGGTCATTTCTGCCAGCGAGAGGCAATTAAAAGGAACTAATTCTCTGTAGTCTTGTGGTTTCTACCCCATTTCCATAAATCCATCATGGACATTAATGTCTTGGTTGGATAGTATTTATTTTAAAACTTTTTTTTTTTTCACTTGTTTGTATTGTTTACATCATAGCTTAGATTAAAATTACAGCAAATATTTAAATATTCTTAAGAATTTGGGGCAGAAGTTTAAAACTGAAGTAAAGTTTAACGATGAAAACAACATATTGAGCTGTAAAAATGAGGTGAAGAGTCCTAAAAGCATTGCTCCAGTTGTGTGCATGGTGGTGGTAGCATCAACATTTGGTGCTGTTTTGTGACCATAGGAACTGGTTGCAGTGGATAAAATTATAAAGAACGACTGTAACCTAAAAACAACAACTAAACAATTAATGCTTTGACATGACATGAGTTAGAAGCAGATTAATAACCTCAAAATCACATTAACTTTTGGTTATGGAAAGGTATAGGCGTAAAAATGTTAGCTTTTTAAAGTTTTTCCCAAGTGTTGATTTAAACCTTCACAAATAACTTTTCCTAGAAATTGGTAATATTCACTAGGTTCATTTCCATTTATCAAGAAAATTATTATTTAAAGAGAATTTTGAATTGCATTTAAAGGTCATGATGCAACACTTAAGAGATATAAAATCAAGTCATGATGCAACAGATTTGAATTTTTGCCCAAAACAGATAAAAACTTCTCATTTATTTTTTACTTTTGACTTTTAAGATATCTTGTCTTGTTATTCTGTCTTAAAAAAAGATCGGATATGAACTCTGAAAGCTTTTTGTCTGTCGTGATTTTATGTACATTTCCGGTAGGGGGTGTTTGTGCTATGTTACATTTTTCTTTAATTTTTAATTCATATCTGTATTTGAAATGTGTTTAAAATTTTTTCTAGCAAGCAAAACAATTCCTCGCTGAGTAATGACCGCAGCCGATTGTCCAAGTTGCCCAACCTTCCTCCTCAGGCGCTGAAACATTTGTGGATTCGAACAGCTTTGATGGAGAAACTCCTGGACAAGATCGTTCTGTACTTGGTGGAAAACAGCAGGTATGTTATTTATTGCATTTGTAAATCTCAGGTTTTGAAAACAAGGCGACAAAACTCAGAAGTCAAAGTTATCTCTAAAGTTGATCTCCGTGAAACTGGATTAATTTACTGCTCAAAGAAACAACCAATGGTGTTTTGATGTATTTGGATTGCAATAGACAAAGCTTTGACCCTAGTTACTCATGTCCCAGGAGAAATTTGATAGTTGGCTTGAATCCCAGGCCAAATGGGGGAATCAGATTCAGATAAGCCACAATTGTTGATTTTCTTGAGGCAGACTGTTTATTTCTTGTCGGCCTTGAGTCTTGCTGGAACTTTGCCGGTCCAAAATGACCAGATTTATGGGTCACTCCACTGATCTGTGTTATGGGCCTTCCTCAAGGTAGATCCCAGAGTACTCACACCGCAAACCAAACCTTCACACAGACTCTGAAGATTTGCCATGGCCGAAACTGCTGTCGATGCCTTTTTCAAAAGTTGATTTAAAAAAAGAGCCCTGCCGATGCCAAAAAGCAGAAACTTTGCTATCACAACTCCAAATATATAAACGTCTTTGGCGTCCTCCTGAGACATAAATGAGAGACACATCAGCTGCCAAACTACCCACGGATCTCTGATGTACCCCGCAGCGTGAGTCTCAGCACGACGAGGGTTCTCCAGGACCCTCTCATTTTGTTGAAAAGATTTTGTCGATTGCGTTGAAAGTCCAGCTCACCAGATCCATAATAGTATTTTTTGTTCGGGAGATGTGTACCAGGAGCTTCAAGACTCACAGAGAGCAAAAGCAGGAAGAAGAGGAAAACAGGGGGAGGGAGAGCAGAGGCGTCCGTCTTGAGCGAGAGCCAGAGGAGAAAAATAAATTGTATACTTGTATTTAAAAAGCTTTTTTCTTAAACTGTTATATTTCCTGTATGTTTATGTTGTGTTATTACGTTTTGCTTCAGTGCATTTTATGATAAAGGAGCCATGCTAATGGATCCTGTGGACGGACCAATCCTTGCATCTCTTCTGGGTACCTTCCCTTACTGTGACAACTTTCAGTTTAGAGGTTTAATCATACAGAGTTCTAGTTTAAACCTGTTAACTTTGTTCTACAGTTGGCCCCTGTGCTTTGGAGTACACCAAAGTTAAGACTGCCGACCATTTCTGGACAGATCCGTCCGCTGACGAGCTTGTACAGCGGCATCGAATCCACAGTGGCCACTGTCGGCAGGACTCTCCCTCCAGAAGGCCTGCCCTGGTAGGATGCTCCAATAACTCAGCAACCAGTCTTGCATTTTGGCTCCGATGTGTGTAATGTTTCCCACGTTTTCTTGAACTAGATCCAGAAGAGACAGTCCAGTGGTAGCATGGATGATCGGCCTCTCCTGTGGGCCAGAGAATACGTTGAATCACTCCACCAGAACTCCAGAGCCACGCTTCTGTTTGGCAAGAACAATGTCCTGGTGCAGCCGGTACGTTTCTTCCAATGTTTGTGAGAAAGTTAATAGACTTTTTAAATCATAAAGCAATACTTAAAGAGATTTTATGGTGCTGTAATAAGAAATGTTGAAACCTCTCAGGGCAGCACGGTGGCGCAACTGGTAGAGCTGCTGCCTCTCAGTGAGCAGGTCCTTGGTTCAAACCCCGGTCCAGGGGCCTTTCTGGGTGGAGTTTGCATGTTCTCTCCGTGCATGCGTGGGTTTTCTCCGGGTACTCCGGTTTCCTCCCACAGACCAAAAACATGCATGTTAGGCTGATTGGTAACTCTAAATTGTCCCTAGGTGTGAGTGAGAGAGTGAATGGTTGTTTGTCTTGTTTGTCTCTATGTGGCCCTGTGATGGACTTGCGACCCGTCCAGGGTGTACCCCGCCCCTCGCACAGTGATTGCTGGACATGGGCACCAGCGACCCCCGTGACCCAAAATGGAATAAGCGGGTAAAGATAATGGATGGATGGATGGATGGAAACCTCTCAGGGTTTGTTTCTGCTTGCAGAGAGATGGGATGGAAGCCATACCGGGCTACCTCTCACTTCATCAAACCGCAGATGTTATGACACTGAAGTGGACTCCCAATCAGCTGATGAATGGCAATGTTGGAGAGCTAGATTCTGAAAAGAGGTTAAAAACTCAAGGCATAACAAAATAAATACTTGTTACCCATCCAGTCCCTTAATTACCCATCTTTTTTCAGTGTTTTCTGGGATTATGCAATGACGATTCGTTTGGAGGAGATTGTATATCTTCACTGTCACCAGCAAGGTAAACCCTCAATTTTCCCCAAATTTCCAAATGATCTGACTTTAGGTGTTATTAAACTGTTTTATCCTGCTTTATTTAGTGAACTGTGGTGGGACAGTAGTTTTGGTCAGCCAAGATGGAATCCAGAGACCTCCCCTGCATTTTCCCAAAGGGGGTCACCTGCTGCAGTTTCTTACCTGCCTCGAGACCGGCCTGCTTCCTCATGGGCAGCTAGACCCTCCGCTATGGAATCAAAGAGGAAAAGTTAGCCTACATTATTTACTCATAATTTACTTCAAACAGTAAATGCTTTAGCATTAGCGTCTGAACACTTTGCCTTTCTGACAGGGAAAGGTGTTCCCTAAACTGCGGAAGAGAAGTCCCCATAGTTCATGTGATTCCGTGTCGGATAAGGAGGAGGATGAAGCAACCGATTACGTGTTTCGGATCATCTTTCCCGGCATTCAGATGGAGTTCAGTAAGTGTCATCTTCCTGCTCTGCCTCCAAATGATCATTTAATGAAGAATCATCAGGGATTACATCGACGATTGCTTTCACGTTGTATTATTTATTTTCCTTCAGTGTATGTTCTGTGCACACCTTGGTAATTAAATTATTTCTAATGTTTATCTGCTAGAGTTCCATTAACGTCTTGTCTGTTTAGTGCAAATATTAATTTCAAGTTATTGTTCAGTTGACAATGACAAGCCTTGGCGTGGAAACTCGTCTGTCTAATCTGTATTGTCCACCTCTTGTGTTTCTTTTCTAATTTTTTCTCTGTTTTTTGGTTCTTATAATTTTCAGACAAGAACTTTATGTCCAGCTCTACTGACTTCTGTCATTGTTCTATTAGCCACAGTAATGTTAAGCGCTTCTATGCTTTTTAGTGCCCCTTGAGATTATGGATCAGGGTGTTAATATGTGGCAGCCGACCCCTAGAAAGTCCTCATGCTCGTCTTGCTCCCAGAATGGCTCCTCAGATGGTTCTCTACCTAATGGATGCAATCATGAAAGGTAAGTGTTACTGTGGGACTGGCTCTAATTGACCTTCTGATTATTCCATTTGTCTAAATTAATCATTTTCCAATTTGTCCAGGGCTCCTATAAAGCTCCTTTGTGACACAATGAAGCACCAAATAATCTCCCGTGCATTCTATGGATGTGAGTTCATTTAATTTTTAGATATATTAAAGCTGTTTTTTTTTTAAGCTGATGCTGATTTGTTTTAATTCTAATATGTTTTGTGCAGGGCTTGCATACTGTCGCCATCTGTCCACAGTGCGTACACACCTTTCTGCACTGGTCAACACCGCCATCGTTGACCCTAGTGCACCACGAGATGCTCGAGGGGGCCTCACCGTGGAGGTTTGGACCAGTTTCCTCAAAGACAGCTCTGTAAGATTCAAACATTTGGCAGTGTGACATCATTCTTAATGCTTCACGTTTCTTTTTAATGTATTTTAATGGGAAAAAAACAAACATATGTTGTAGGCCTATGAGGAGAAGGAGATCCACAGGCTTGTGTATTTCGGTGGCGTGGCCCCGTCACTTCGCAAAGATGTCTGGCCCTTCCTGCTGGGACATTACCGGTTCAGCATGAGCGAGAAATGCAGGCTGGAGGTATTTCATGTCGATGTTTAAATGTACCTCCACATGAACTGGGCTGGATTAGAACTGTTTATTCATGTGCACTCTGTGACTCAGATTGATGAGAAGATGCGGAGCATGTACGAACAGACTGTGAAGGAGTGGCAGGGCTGTGAGGTCATCGTTCGCCAGAGGGAGAGGGAGAAGCACGCCGAGGCCCTCGCACGATGCTTGTCCGGTGCCAGTGTGGAACGAGGACCTGTACAGCGGGACTCCACCATAAGCACAGATGCAAGTTATCGCTTTTCTTGTTGAAAAAAGTTCCATGTAGCGAATGAAAATGTATCGTTAGAAAATGTTTTTAACTTATAGCTCTGTTTTTTTGTGTTGTGTAATGTTATAGTCGTCTCTGAGCAGCAGCTCAGACCAACAGAATGTCCACTTGCAAAGTGATTCTTGCAGCAGCGCACAGGTATTTCTCTAAAAGAAGAACATCAAAACTATTTTTTACGCTGTTAAAAAAAAAAAGATAATGCAGGTTATTTTTGTTTTGAATGCAAAGTGAAACAAAAAGTACATTTCCTTAAACAAAACTTAACTTAATATTTATACAATTGTTTGTAAAACGTCACATAGAAAATTCAGTACATTCTGGTCTTTTTTTTTTTACAAATAGTTTAAAAACCACACTTTAAAAATTTTTTTTTTTTTTAACGAGGAAATTTCAGCATAAAGCAGCAAGATAAGAACTCGTTGAATCAGTAAGAATCATAACCTAAAATTAGGGATGCACGATATTATCGGTATGGTATCGGTATCGGACGATATTAGCGTTAAAGTTAAATATCGGGCATCGGTCATTCCATCAAAATAAATCACCGTATAAAAGGCGCTGTTTTTGTATGACAACCCAGTGACAAGGATGCCTGCAGCGCCAGCACAACGTGATGATGTCACGCGCACCTACCTGGTCTGATTACAGTGGAGAGGAAGAAGTCAAAATGTCAGCAGTGTGGAAGGGTTTTTTTTTTTGTTGAAGATGTCGAATTCTGAAGATTTTTGGACTACGTTGAGTCTCGCTACATCATCCCCAGTCTGAGATATTTTTCTGCCTTTCCTGAGTTACAAGCCGTTATTTCCAACGTCACTAAGAAGCTAATAGCTGATAGCACTTGGGTGAGTTTTACCACAGACATTTGGACGTTGTGTTAGCCCCGTTAGCATGATTAGTCTTACAGCACAATGGATAGACAAAAACTTTGAACTTAAAATGTCTGTCCTTCATGCACAAGAGTGCAGAGGATCCAACACTGCAGCTAGAAACTCGGAACAAGCCTCCACAAGTGAGCAAGCACCGCAGGTGATTAATGCTAATAAATAATATTTAACCAAGTGCTATGCATATATGGCTGTTACTGAATATATGTCACCAGCTCTTACAGCTGTTACATAATTTTTGTAGCAAATAAGCCTAAATAAGAGGGCTATGTTCTGACAAAGGAAAGTATATAAAAAAATATCATTCTCGATTATCGGCCATTGGCCAAATAAGTTTTAACATATCGGCATATCGGCCAAAAATATAATATTGTGCATCCCTACCTGAAATAAAAAGTCTGAAGTGTTTGTTTCTTTATTTGTCAGTTAGGAAAAGGTCCCTTTTGTTTACAAGAAGGGGCGGGGCTTAAATATTGTACTGCAGCCAGCAGCTAGGGGGAGCTCTTCCTTTGTGGCTTCAATTTCCAGCTTCTGGTCTTGTGTCTAGTTATAAAATATATTTATGCTTTACCATCATAGACTTTTTTAGTGTCCACAGACTTTCTTTTAAAATCTGCATCACAAATATGTCCAGATTAACAGGTAAAAAGAAAAGGGAAATGCAAAAACACACAGTTTGACTGATTTACATAAGCTGCTTGTGACTTAACTCCAGCTCATTTCAGTGCAGAATTCTAAAGGATTTGCTTGTTCTTCCCTTTCCCTTTTTGTCACAAGGTATTTGAATCGGTTGAGGCTGAGTCCACGGCTGAGGGAGAAGAAACGCTGCAAAGTAGTCTTGTGAAGACCACAGATGGTCCACGGTTTTTCCCCTGCGAGTCCTCCTCCCCCGATGTGTCAAACCAGCATGAAGGGTTAGATAATCCTCCCAAAAGTGAGTCAACAGCTGAACCTATAGCCTCCCAGCAGACGGACAATACACCCAATGATGAAACTACAACTGGTTCAGAGTCGGGGAAAAGTCATCTCACTTTGTGCGAATCAGCAGAAAAAGATGGAAAGCAGTCAGTTGTGGAGGAAGAGGGTGTAATGAAGAAGATGGAGATATATTTGGAAAGTGAAGCAGTTGCAAAAACACAAAATAAGTCCAAGGACACTTGTGCCGCTGAGAATAAGGAAACAACTCCTGTAGAAGCAGTAGATACTAACATGAATGTGAAATCTGCTCCGGAGAACACTAACGTCCTGAAGCTGGAAACAGAGATCCATAACGAGTATTTCCAAGCCCCTCTACTCGGGCAGACCTTAGCTGTCCAAACAAAAAAGAGCAGAGATGTAGAAGGTGAAACACACCGTCCACTCGAATCAAGAGAAAATAATTGGCAAAGTAAAAAGACTGAAAATGCAGAAACAGCAGTGTGTGACTTTGCAGAAACCAAAAAATCAGAGATTGAGAAGCCCGGCTCAAATTCTCCAGTCAGACAAGTTCTGAATGCTCTGCAGTGTGCATCGAGAGGCAGCCTCTCCTTATCTCACTCTCGGCAGTCTCCAGATACAGCCGATTCAGACGACTCCCCCTCTGCCCTGGAAATGGAGGACATTCCTGCTGGCATAACATGTGTGACTTCGGAGGACATCAGAGCCAGGCCTCTGGTGGGCCTCGCTGCACCTCCTATCCCTTTAGCGCAGAGAGAAAAAATGGCATCCGAGAGTTTTGTCCAAGATCACCATCTGGACACAGCGTGTAACACCAGTCCTGAGGTCACCGATCTGGGCCTTTCTGAAGAGGAGCCGGAGATGGACAATGTCCTCGCTGAACAGGAGTCCACAGACATGGGAGGTGTCAAATATGAAGAATCGTCAGAGGAGCAAACCTATTCTGTAAGTATCATACACGACCCACAGTATAAAGATATTCTGTCTGTTATACACACCGACAGATGTCTTTATTGCTCAAGCAAGAAACGCTGGACATGTACTTGATCAACTTGCACCGCATCGACAAAGATGTCCGACGCTGCGACCGAACGTATTTGTACTTCACTCCTGAAAACCTGGAGAAGCTGCGTAACATCATGTGCAGGTAAACACGTAAACGTTTTAAGCAAGCCTATTCTGCCTCCACATGATTGTATCACTGATTTTAGTTGATTTTATCACTGATTTTAGTTGCACTCTGTAGCACTTTGAGATTTTTGTTAATGAAAAGTGTGTTACAAATTAAATTCATTATTATTATTAACATGTCCCACTGCAACGTCTTATGTTTGTTTCAACCCAAAAAGAAAATCATTATCAGCCACTACCAAAGGTGAAAGGGTGATTATGTTTTTGCTCATGTCTGTATGTGTGTGTCTGTATTGTCTTATGAATTACTGAACTGATTTTAATTAAACGTTCAGGAAAAATGGATGAACATCTACAAATTTTAGTGTTAACCTGATTCAAGATGGCTGCCATAGCAACAAATATGACTATGTCATTTTTACATTCATTCTACAGTTTGATGTAGTAGCTGAGATTGATCCTTATACTTTTACTGACTGATGCAGATTTAGTTTTAAAATTTTGACATGAACTATAGAAATGGACTTTCTGTCTGTTAGCAAAATATTCCATGAACCACCAAACGGATTTGAATGACACTTTCATAAAGTAATCATTGGGTGTACATGTATAATTAATTATCTTTTGGATTTAGTCTAATTCAAAATGGCTGTCACATCTAATTGACCTAAGAAAACAGTAAAATAATTCTAAATCAGCCAAATCAGCCAATGACTATCCATGCTGCTGATCTCATGCTGCTGATCTATTTCATGAATCATGTTGCTGTGTTCATTCATGCTCATCTGCTCACACAGACTCATGTTCGTGCTGCTGTTTCGGCGTATTGTTTTTGCACTATTAAGTGTTTAGCGTATTCTTAGTTCATATCTTAGATCTTATTGCTGTTTTCTTTTACAATTTATACTTTTGTTGGATGTAACTGGGACCTTGTGTACACAGTTTTGTTCCACCACATGTACCACATGAGATGCGAATGACGGTAAAGAATCTTGACCTTGAAATGTGCAGATGTTTGGGTAAAACTTGTTGTGGTAGCAGCTGAGCATAGTCCTCAAAACATATTTTGACAGCACTTCATTGGGTGACATTTTTGCTTAAAACATTGCATTAACTTTTTAGTCAACACTGTTTGTTAGCAAAATATCTCATGAACCACTGCACAGATTTCAACGAAACTTTTAGCCTTTTTTTTTGTTCTCCTGCAACTACAATAAACTTTTGGAGTCAGACTAATTCAAGAAAAGCTCATTTAATCAGCCTTAGACTACACAAACATGGCTAGGGAAAATCACAGATACTGTGCTAAAATTTCGTGTGTTGCTATTATTGCATGAGATTGGGCATAATGGTATTTTTAAGATTTAACCAAAATATATATGTATAAGATAATTTTGGTCTAAAACGTTGACTTAAAAAGCACCGGGTGATATGCATTCCTTTAATGAACACTAGCCCTTTAATTGAAAAAAATAAAAACCATTTGTTTGTTGCAGTTACGTGTGGCAGCACCTGGATATAGGGTACGTGCAGGGCATGTGTGATTTGCTGGCTCCCCTTCTGGTTATACTGGATGATGGTTAGTAAAACTTTATGAGGCACCAAAACTTTAAATGCATTTAAATGGCTCAGCAGACACCTTGCTAAGTTGCGCCTGTTTGTGCTGGGACATTTTCACAGAGGTGATGGCGTTCAGCTGCTTCACTGAACTCATGAAGAGGATGAACCAGAACTTTCCTCACGGGGGGGCCATGGACACTCACTTTGCAAATATGCGCTCACTCATACAAGTATGTTCATGTTTTGTAGCTCAGTGACAGTCTGTGATTTATTGTGTGTTGTTAAAAAAACACTAATGAAACTGTCAGAATTGGTATTTAAATGCAATAATTTTCCAATATTAATGGTTCAGAAGAACCAGGAAGCAACCCATGGGTATTTTTGATTTATTATGTTTATAATGGGATCAGAAAACAACAATGCTAGTCAGGTTTGATCCATTCTTATGTACAGTAGTCCCTCGCTACTTCGTGGTTCGACTTATGTAAACTCGCTCTTTCATGGTTTTTCAAAGTAAAATTGGACATGACACCCAGTTGGTTCATTGATGGATGAGCCACACGATCGGCATGGGTTTGTTATTTAAAATAAATTATTTTGAATTATTTAGCACCTGATGCACCTGTGTGCAGCACACATGTGCAGGGAGAAGCTCCCTCCTGCAGCATGTCATGATCTCCGGAGAAGTGGGCGTGACCAAGAGTGCTGGCAGGTGGCAGAGAGAGCGGAGGTCATCATGACATGCTGTGCTCCTTTAGAGTTTAGAAACATTGTTTAGAATATTGCAAGAGTGTGGGAAGAGTTTTAAACATGTGTGTGCGTGTATGTATGTATGTATGTATGTGTATAGATAGATAGATAGATAGATAGATAGATAGATAGATAGATAGATAGATAGATAGATAGATAGATAGATAGATATCTCATAAATAAACTACTACTTGTACTATTCCTACTTCGCGGTTTTTCACTTATCATGGGGGAGGTGAAATTGAAAACCCCGCGCTTGGGACTCAAGAGGGTAAAACTGTCTGGCTGAGGGGGGCCAGTGCGGGGCCACCGATATTTTAGGTGTGGCACTGGTATCGGAGTCAGTCGTTCTAACAGTTTGGTTTTCTTTGAGCAGATTCTGGATTGTGAGCTGTTTGAACTGATGCAGCAGAACGGAGACTACACTCACTTCTACTTCTGCTATCGTTGGTTTCTTCTCGACTTCAAAAGAGGTGGGATGAGAAACTCTGGAATCTCAATGTTTGGTTAAATCAAACGTCATTTTCTGGCTTTCTCTGAACAGAAATGGTGTACGACGACGTGTTCTCCGTGTGGGAGACGCTCTGGGCCGCCAAGCACACCTCCTCTGAACACTTTGTGCTCTTCATCGCCCTGGCTCTTGTGGAGATGTATCGAGACATCATTTTGGAGAACAACATGGACTTCACAGACATCATCAAGTTCTTCAACGGTGAGATGATTGCAAGCACCATGTTTTAAACTAAACAGCTGACCAATCAGCGCAGACTATGAGCTTAATTAATTTTTTTTTAATGCAAAATGACTGTCTTTTAAAATAATTTTACATTAAATATTATCAGCAATTTCTGCCTTCTCTTTTTAGAAATGGCCGAGCGGCACAACGTCCCACAGGTCTTGATGAAGGCCCGAGACCTGGTGCACAAAGTCCAGACCCTCATAGAAAACAAGTAATGCAGGCTGCTGCATCGTCCCTTGATTGTTGTGCTCCGTTGTGTCAAAGATCCCGACAATATAACAGTGACACAGTTTTTGGGGAGACAGCGATTAAAGCTATTTCTAAAAAATGGTGGTAAAGCAACTTCTCTCTGTTGCTCCTCTTTATATTTACGAGTGTTGCCAGTGACATTTTTATTTTTGAAGTGTCTGTTAACCCATTGAATGTACCCCTATTGAATCTGCTTCAGGGTGGTATTCATTGAGCATTTAATTTATTTGGAAAACTTGTTTTTTTTTCATGGATAATTCTTCACTCTGTTCATTTTCTGCCACAGCCATTTGCTTAAAAGGATAGTTTGGTTATTTACACAAGCCACAGAATGACAGTAAAACTGACTTTTGTTCAATTCTTATATTTGGAAGTGAGGTACTCTGGAAAGCTTATGAACAATTAATATCTTACCTGTTGCAAATAGCTCTTTGAACTGGCTCAATTTAAAGAAAGTTTAATTTTGATCGGATTGACAACCTTGACCAAGCCTAGGGTGGATCGCTGCCGTAAAGCAACCCCAACCTTTGAAATTTCACAAGAAAACTTATCTATAAACCTTCACACTGCCATCAGTGTTGCATTATACTCCACTGTTATTTAGGCACAAACATGTTTTTGCTGGTAGTGCTTCAGGCTGCACCTGAAGTGCTACGCTAGCTGCTGGTACCACCATAAAACTTGATGTTTTATCATTGTATCATGTGAAATTTGGTTTTAATGTAAAGGTGTATGAAGTAGTTTGCACGAACCACTACAAAATCTTTGTAGGTTGAAGATGTTTTAACTCGGCAGCAGTCCACTTCGGTTTTGACTCAGCTCATATTAGCATTAGCTTATCGATTGAGTCCGAATTAAACTATTTTCTCCAAACTGAAGCTAAAGAGCTAAGATTTCAATTCACTGAACCCCACTTCAAAAGATCTGAACTATCACTTTAAGTTGCACATCTTGTAATACACACAGTTTTTGTAGTGTTTATTTTGTAGCTACCATGCTTGAACATTGTGTGATAAACTTGATTATATTTTCAGGTCAGGTACATGATGTGTTCAGATGATTTGGTTCTTAACCCTCCTGCTGCCCTTGGGTCAAAATTACTTTTGACCTAAGGGCAGCAGGAGGGTTAAGCATTAGAGGATTGTGCTCAAACCAGTTACATCGTTGGGTTGCATCTTAATAACCATTTTAAGAACAACATGCTTGGCTTTTGGACAGTTAAGGCCCCGTTTCTGCCTCTGATTCACAACAGTCTTCAGGATATTCAGCCCGAGTGCACAGAATTTATTTGAGGACATTTCCAGCTGCACTTGACCGAGTCCTCATATTGCGAGCTGCTCGTCTCTGACGTCGTGTGTGCGCTGAATGAGAAGTGATTCACCCTGCTGATGCTCATCCGTTGACTCACGTGTCAGTTTGTATTTTTGTGCAGATCGATGCTTCTTCTTTGGCTCGTTCTGACCGCTACTGAAGCCTTACTTTACTCTTACTTTAAACATACACAGGAATTGTTGCGATGTACTACGCATGGACTTGTGGTTCTCGTTAAAACAAACGCAGCACTGACAGATTTTGTTTTTGTGCACCGTTACGGGAATTGATGTGATTGGTAACTTTTTGCCGGCGGTGAAATGAATTTATAGCAGCGTGTTTTCTTCGCACTTTGCAGGAATTTGCCTCCATCTTGCTTTTTTTTTTTTTATTGTCATATTTATTAGTAGCATTCTGACCTCATGTCTCATACCACACAAGCCTCTCATTTGAGAGAAAAAGGACACATCGTTTTGCTTTCCTGTGGAACTATATGCTTTAACATATTTGCCCACCATGTTGGTTTTGTTTACCTTATTGAAATAAAATTGTTTCACATGGTGGTCCCTGTTTACCAGAGGAGGAACTGCACACTTCTGAGCTTAAATGAATTAATTTGTTTCAACTGTGTGCTCAGCTACAATAATGTTTCAACAGTTTGGCCAAAAGTCATCGGGTTAGCTTTTAATTTATATGTAGCTTATATCCAGGTGAGTCAAGATAAACAAGTTATGGTCCTTTTTAACAAGCCAACACCATTTTCTGGTATTTTACAGAAATGCATCAAAGTTATAGCAACAAAGGTGAAGCACGAGTCCACTCTCATCCCCCCCAGGATGTTTTTAAAGATGGGTGTATGCACAGAAATCACTGTTACCCATGTAAAGAACTTTTAGTATTAAATCAGATGGCTTGGAATGGCACATAAAGCAAGTTAAGCTCAAGATAGAACTTGGCAGTTAAGTCTAAAACTCAATTTGACAAGAATTAGTTAATAAATCACCTTTAAAGCTTTTCTCCTACAAATTTTAGCTGCTCAGTAAATGATTTTCAAACCTAGTGGGTACTAGGTCTTCAGGATATTCAGGATTGATGGTGGTTAGTTGGGGGAAACTTCAGACACTCATACACTAAGCACATAGAAAACCTTTGTCTTATTTAGCTTGTTCAGCTTAAAGTGATGAAAATATGAAAATAATGTAACGTACTCTATAGATTTTGATGTCAATACACACATTTTAAGGAGACACCTTTCTCTCTATATATATAATGGTATGTCAGGTAAGACACGTTTTTTAAAATGGTGCCACTTAACAGATGCAAAATATGAACACTTGTGCTGGTTTCACTGTGGCCTAAGTTCAAAATGTTTTAACTCCGACGTGTCTCCATCTGATCCCAAACATGCCCGAGTATCGCTACCTGTGTATCGTGGTCAGAAGATAAAATGTGTTGAAATAATGCAGATTTATTGTACAAAAATTAAGCTGGTACAAAGTTAATAAATGCAATACAATGTCTGTATGAGTTAAGTTAAAATGTTGTGTATACCATTGGAAATATTTATTTTTTTCTGTCTTCTAAAATGGTCAAGTATAATTAATGTATTGTGCATTAAAAAAAACTTATATTTTGCATCTATTGTGCCTTGAGTGTATTTTCTTTCTGAAAATATGTATTCATTTTGAAGCTTGTACAGGAACTGTCCATTATACCATGTAAATTATTTGAAGTATTTTTTGTTTTAACTATAAAGTATAAAAATAAAGCAATTGTGGTAGTGCTAGAACCAAGTATTTTTATGGTGCACATTTTATTTATAAAAATGGTGTGGAAAAAGCACCGGTATGTCCAATTTATGAATTAAAAGGAGTTGAACACAATATTTCAACGTAGTATGTTAAAATATAGGATGAAATGTACTACGCGCTTTGTAGCCAGTCTAAGTTACCATACCACTTTATTTATAAAGCACTTAAAACAGCTACAGAGCCAACCAAAGTGCTGAGTTTAACTAAGGTATGTTTGCATTGTAAAATGTTTCATAGCATTTCAAGACATTTTGCTATCGCACAAATACTTTTTTTTAAGCAATCATTTCATGACACTTTGACAAAAATTGTTGCTACGTGAACAGATCAGAGGTGCTTTAAGGTAAAGTTAAGGAACATGTCCACTTTTCCCAGTCTTTTTTTTTTTTTTTTTGTGGGGGGGGGGGGGGGGCGCAGTTCAATAAACTTGTCAAATGGTCAGCAATTATGGCTAAGTATTAATTAGACTATATTGTAACTCTTAATATAGCATCTGGTGATTTTTTTTATTTATTTATAAAGAATGAAACTGTTTCAGTAAAAGTTGACATTTTATTGGTAAAGAGAACAAATTTTCACCTACAGGTCACCTCAATGGTTGACAAACAAAAAAGATGAGGTACATAGTGAAAAAAAAATGGCTCACTAATTTATGAAAGTGATTAGTTTCACAGGTTTAGATTTGAAAACTAAAAATCTATTTAAGTGTGATGCAAACTTTTGCTAAACGAACTTGAACAATATGGTCAATCCGGTAGAAGCAGACCTGTGTGACTTGTTTTCAAAAACACAACATGGGTGTGCTGTTTTTTGTCACGATCGTGAGTAATTCTTCAACACACACAAAAAAAACCATTGAAGGGGTTAGAAGATTAAACTTACAATCCTGATTTTAAGTAAAACATACAAATAAAAATGTTAAGGCTGTGGGGAGGATTCCTGGCCATGGAATGTATGCATGAAGAAATTCCACTGGATACTACAAGGAGGCCTGAGGTTTAAAAAAAAAAAAGAAAAGAAGATAAAACGCTGAATTACTCAAGATTTTCCACATGCTGTGTAAATGAATATGGGGTTCTATCGAAAATGACGAGGAGGTGGGCTGTGTTGTGGTGGAGGGTGCCTCCTGGGAGGTGGGCTATGGCGCATCATGGAGCGTGGAGGTGACTGGTAGCGAGGAGGGGGAGATCCTCTGTTGAAATAGGGAGGAGAGTAGCGACCTCTGGATCTGGAGCGGGAGCGTGACTGACCCCCCCAGGTGGCTCCGCCTCTTTCTTCATACACACGGATGTAAGAAGTCTCACCCTACAAAAAAAGGAAAATAAATCCATGTACTTTTTACCCCACCATCAACTGGCAAAGAATTACATCATTCCATTATCGGTTCTTACCTGATGTGAACGAAACTCTGTGCGGTCCAATCTGCGCATTGCGTACTCCATGTCCTCCTTACGGAGATATTCCACTACGCCCTCACCGTCTCGCTGCACATCTGCAAAACAAACATCTCCTGCTTCTCGCATATGATCCTTCAGATCCTGCCAGCTCCCTGTTGAGGGTAACCCTAGAATGAAAAGGAGAAACAATACTTTTGCTTGCGAGGTTAAAATGAATTTAAAAAAAATATAAAGAGACACATTTACAGATTCATCTAAAGTCTAAACTGAGATATTGCTGTAGTTGTATGACGACTAAACCCAAAATGAAAATAAAGCTCACTGGATAAAACGATACAGGACACTGACTCCTAGATTTTTTTTTATTCCTTACAAGAATGTCTTTATTATTCTAGGACTGTCTCAGCTCAGTACTCTTTGATAAGGTGCCTAATAAAAATGCTTTCCAAGAAAAATAGTACATCATATCTATGCTTATTTTACACAATTACAACATAAATTTTAAAGTGCATGTGACTTCAAAGTTTTTGTAATAAATATGAATGCATTTTTGAGAAGATGCTAAGATGAACAGTAGTTGAGATATTTGCATGTGCATTCACAGAAAGTGATGACAAAGTGCAATGCCTGTATGTAAACAAAGCATCGCTACAATGGCTAACAGACATCAAATAATCTGATCTTACTTTAGATTTTGAGTCTATCAGAGATTGACGAAAAGGAGTCAGTTTAAATAATATTGTTTCAATAACCAAAGACCAGGGAATTCCCCTTTGATGTCACTTCCTGTTCCATGTGTATTATGCCAAATTTCTTAAATACTACGACGTTTTCTTCCACTTGGAGGATATGCATGTCACAGGCACTTTAACTGCAGAATATGACATATCCTTGTTTAATAGTTCTTAGACCTTGTAAGGTTACTTACTGGGTTAACTGTTTACATGCAGCTTATTTATTCTTTGTTTTTACTTTACTACTAAAAAAATGACTAATGTCATACTCAGAGTTGATTGTAAAAATCAATTTTGTGTTATTTTAATTTAATATTAACTACTTCTCCTATTAGAATTAATAGGACGAGTGATCCAATTTTTGATAGCCTAGTAAAATGTTGCTAATAAAACAGTCACTTTTTTAGACTTTATTTAAATGTAATCCCACAATAAGGCAACATAAGGGATGACCAGTTAAGACAAGATTTATAAAAATCTTTCCCTTTAAGAGTCTAATATTAGAATCAGTTCAAGTAGATGAGATGCAGAAACATTTAAATAGATGTAGCACACAAATGAGGAATAAGAACAAAAACCCACCTGTCATTCACTACAGCTGGACTTGATTATTCAGTCAACATGATCGGTTTGGATTTACTTTTCATGAGTTTAGAGGCAGACTACTTCATCCACTTGACCTTCAATCCGCCATGAGAAAAAACATATCTGCCTATGACTCAAGATGCCCTAAATCAGTCCCCTTGTCCTCCAGGAGAAAATCATATCCGCTTATGATGTCCACCTACTAGTTCCTTGTCCTTCAGTCCACCATGAGAGAAGGGAAACATATCAGAATTGTGTGATAATTGCCAACAACTTAGCACATCCATCTACTAGTCCCTTGTCCTCTGGTCCGCCAGGAGGGAAGGAAAGCATGTCTACCTATGACTTAGGACTTCCATCTACTAGTTCCTTGTCCTCCAGTCCGCCAGGAGAGAGGGGAAACAATTCTGGCTATGACAGAACTTCCATCTATTGAGCTCCTTGTCCTCCAGTCCGCCAGGAGAGAAGGAAAC